AAGTACATTCCCAGGCCCAGCTTTACCGTAAATGCCCCCAATGAAGTTCATCAGGCGGATTTGCTTTTCTTACCGCACGACAAGGTGAGAGGAAAGACCTATAGATACGCTTTGACCGTAGTTGATATCGCAAGCAGATACAAGGACGCCGAACCCATAACCAGCAAGGATTCTTGGGAAGTCGCAGAAGCCCTAGGTAGGATTTATAAGCGCGTCTTGAAATGGCCCAAGCTGCTGCAAGTGGATGCGGGGACGGAGTTCATGGGCGTGGTTACCAAGACCCTGAAAGACCACGACACCAAGATTAGGAGAGCCGAAGCAGAGTACCACAGGGGTCAGAGTATTGTTGAAAGATTCAATAAAACCTTGGCTGAGCGTCTCTTCGGATACCAGTATTGGAAAGAGCTGGAAGATCCATCGAAACGCAACAGGGAATGGACTCAGAGGCTCCCCCAGGTCGTCGCGGCTTTGAACAACGAGGCGGCCAGGGCTACGGGAATGAGACCCAAGGATGCCATAAAAAAGAAACACGTGGAACACAAGTCCTACGTCAGAAGTTCGAGGGCGGTCTTTCTCCCAGGAAAAGAGATTAGGCGATGTCACGGTTCGATATCTCTATGAGCCGGGTGAATTAGAAGGAGGATCCAAAAGAGCTACGGATCCTAATTGGTCTTTGGAAACTTACCAGATTCGAAGTGCGATAGCTAAGAAGGGCCAGGCCATCTTGTATTATCTTTATGATGGCCCCACACGTGGGTTCGTCAAAGACGAAATGCTTATCGTGTGATTACCAAACGCGTGCGTATGGATACCATCGTCACACATCCAACGCTTACCATCAAATGCGGACAGGGACACCTTTTCTTGGGTAACGTTGTGTATTTGGTGGTGAAATGATCGCAGCGAGTTCATGAGGTGCTTCTGCGTCTTTTGCGTAAGTAAGACGTCTACGTAGGATTGGTGAGTTAAGTCTTTCTTCACCACGTACTTTTTTACACCTTTTGCTTTCTTGTCTGCGCCGTCTGCCTTCAAGACGCTATACATCTTTGGCTTTAACCCAACGTATTCCACGATAGGCTTGCCTGACATTTCGTCCTTCATCTTCCCAATTACTTTCTTGTTCTTGGCTGAGTAGAGGGGATGGTCGCGTGGGTAACCGGAGGTGTCGTACTCATCAAGGTTTTCCAAGCAGTCCGCGTAAACATCGGGGGTCTCTATCTCCATTATCAGAGAGTCGGTGTCCGTGTAAAGGAGTCGACACTTATCGCCGTACTTTGGTTTTAATTTGTCGTAATAAAACTCGTACATCAGAAGCTTAGACAGCTCCAGGACGGTAAAACCGGTGTATACAGGCTTGTTTAAGAAAAGGTTTGCCTTCTTCATGTGTATCACAAAGAAGTTCAACATGTCTACGTAGCGGACAAACCCTGGTTGCGATACGTACTTCTCCGCTTCCTCGCGCGTGTTAGCAATCTTTATGCTAACCCGCTTACGAATATTCTCCATCGTTTTGCCGAAGACTGAGTTATTCATCAACTTAAACAGGTTTTTCTCGAAATCGTTTTTGGCGGCTGTGCGCTTTTGGGTGTTAAAGTCAATGTATGGCTGCATCCACGGTTCTTGACGGAACTTCATGGCGCGGTGAACCTTTGTCACGCGCATTCCGTGACGCACGTAGAATTGCAGGTTGCGATAGTGAACAACGTAATTCCTCTTGGGCATTAGGTTCATCGTTAGCTTGCGGTACGGCTTATAGTTGGGGCACAGCTTCTTTTGTAGTGGAGATAGCTGCTCAAAAGGTATTTCGATTGATTCCGGGGCAAGTGGGTAATCATCGTGGAGGTGGTGTAGGTGCTCGGGGTACTCCAAGTCGACTTCTAAGACAAAGCCTTTGCGGCTGTCGGGTTTTATTCGCATGTAATACTCCGGTTCGCGTGGCTCCGTCCATTCAAACTCCCTAACTGGAAGGTGCTKGGACATTGCCCAACCGTAAAGGTTATTAGCATCCAGGTAAAAGATGTGCGTCGTTGGCTTTTCGGGGTCGTAGCCCTCTACATGGGGATTGTTGGCGCGCGCGTAACGGCGACTGGGCCCGCAAACTCCACCGCGAATGCCGTCTTCCATAAATCGATACATTTCGTAGTCGGTTAGGAGGTCCAGTTGTGCGTCTGTCTTCTTCAGCAGTGCGCTCCAGGAAAGCCCGGGGTCTGTGTAAAAATTCGCTGGGTCTAATCCGTATTAAGACATAGCCATCTTACGAAAGCTTTGGAAAACATCGGCTAGTAGGACAACGTCAGACAACAGGTAAACGTCGTGGTAATCCCCTATGTTCTTGCAGTCGTACTTTACCCAAACCTCCTGCGCGTAGGAGTATTCGGCGTCGGATATTCCCGCTTCATTTAGGGTGATGTAGAAAGACTCTTGAGGTGGAAGCTGTGTTTCTTCGAAGCGCTCCCAGCAATTCATGTATTCGTATGGGTACACTCCTTTTCTTTCCGCGCCGTATTCGTCGGAAATGGGGGAATCCTCATTGTATTTTGCAAGGTTGGCTAAGGAATCCGCCATGAATTGTTGGGAGTCTAGGAACTTTAGCTTACCTATCGTCACGGACATGTAACGCTCTTTGTTGTTGGGTATGCACTTTACTTCGTGACCCTCTACGCCTTGTAAAAGGAGGTGGGAGTCGTACCCGCGAAGATTGTGAAAGAATACGGGAATCTCCATGTTGGGGTCTATTCGGTGCCTACATTTCCAGTGCGCTGCGCCTTTATATTCACCAGTGATTTCACAGCAATCCATCACTTTGTCTGTGTAAAAGTCTTCCTCTAATGGCTCGCCGCAGTGAAAGCAGTGCGTGGATGGCTTGCCGGGCTTTTCTCCGTCTTTTGCATATCGCCCGCATGTGGGGTGCGCTTCTCCTAAGTAAGCCCCATCCTTATCCCAGGCTTTCTTTGCTCGGCGTCCGTACTTTAGAACACCTAGCTCACACACGTGGCACTTCTGTGCTGCGTGATATGCCTCTAACTGCTCTTTGGTTAACTTGGCCTTTTTCTTGTGTACTAAGCGCTGTCGGATGTATTCTTCCTCTTCTTCTAAAGCTGTGAGGAAATTCCGTGCGGCGTTAGGACCTCGGTAAAGCACTGGCTCATCCGCTTCGCCGTCGCAGCGAACAACTACGTAACCATATGAGCAAATCTCGTGTAGTCCTTTCTTTTGTGTGTTATCAGCTTCCTCATACTCATCGGTAATCAAGGACTCAAAGTCCGCGTAAATCACGTACGGCACTTTGTTTTGGCGTTTGTGGTCGTCGTATCGTAAATCTTTTCTTACTGGCAGCTGAATTCTTTGCACTGGCTCCTCGACAAATTTGGTCGTGTTTCTTCAATGCTTTTAAATCTTTAAATGGTAACAGGCAGGCATCGCAGTAAAACCTTTTGTGTCCGTCTTTACTATGCATGGCAAATAGACGGCTTGGCGACTTTACCCATGAGTAATGCTCACCRTGGTAGAAAAGGTGTATGCGCTCTCCTCTGTTACATGGAACATGTAGGGGAACTATAGTCTTTTCTCGGACACCATAAACATTTATAGCAAGCTCGTTTCGCTCTTCAAAGTCGGGTATGCATCGTATTTCCATTGGAAACTCTACGTCAGACCAATCTAGGTCGTCGTGTGGATACTTAGACGTTCTGAATGGATTTTGATTCACTGGATACAACGCTGATCGCAGTGCCCATTGAAAACACCTGTTATCTTTGTTACGCACACTGATAATTGCCTTCTTACCCTCTATGAAAGTTGGCAGTGGCACGTAAGAACCACCACGAGTCGGTACGTAACGGGCAATGCTAATCGTAGCACCCTTAATGGCTGTTACAGTCCATCCGGATCCTTCTCGGGTGTACTTGGCAAGTGATTCCGAAATTGGTTCGACTTGTGAGGACACCCTTTGATCCAAATCCGTCGACTCTAAGACTGTTAGCATTTTGGTGCGCAACCAAACTGTCGTTTCCGTTTCATCTTTCATCAAATTAACCTCCACCACAATAGATACTTTTGCGGCTCCTAACTCTTCTATACCTCTCTCTATCAATCGCTGTATGCGTCTCGCGTTCGTATTCCAATACCTCCGCAAATCTATCGCAGAACTGCCGGCGATGGCGTAAGTTTCGAAATTGTATTGCGAGTCCATTGTCTATATATAAGGAATATTTTTTGGAAGGCAACATGGAGAATACCCGTAGGATCATTCTTGACCCCATGAATGCCCGCTTTTTGAGACCCCTGTAATCCCCGGGGACCATTTTTGGTGTCGTAGCTTTTACTGCGTTTTTGGAATTTCATTACTACGCGAATTTGATTAACTCAGGGAATCATGGGGCAAGGTCGGGT